ATTCTTTTGAAAATTTAGGATTGTTTAATACATCAATTCATTTCAGTGCTCATTTCAGTAGCACATATACTAAAATTGGAACAATACAGAGAAGATTAGTGTGGGCCCTGTCAAGGGTGACACGCAAATTCATGAAGTGTTCCATATTTTTATGGTTATAAAATATGTCTTCTGGATTAGAATAATCATTTGATTCAATTCCTACTGTAAAATAAAGTTTTACCAGTTGACATAAAAATAAAAAAAATCATTTTACCTAGATGTTTCTAGATACCTTCCTGAAAGGGTGAAAGACATCATATTACAGTGATATTGGCTTAGACTACATATATGACATAACAATAGATATACATAGATTTATAGCAATAGAATTCAAGTAGCTAAATCTTGGAACTAGTCTATTTGTCCCAAAACAAGAAAATTTGATACTTGTCCATAATGAAGTACTACTCTGCTATAAAAAAGAAAAAAATTGAATCATTTGTAAAAATATGGATGCACTTTGAGACCATCATATCAAGTGGTATAAATCAGGTACAAATTTTAAATATCACATGGTTGCTCTTATATTAGAAACATACTACATAAATAAATTCTACCACAAAATAACAGATCATAGAAAATATGGGTAGATCTTTTACAAAAGGGAGGAAAAGCAGAGATGGGGAGGATGACAACAAGAGTGAGGAAGTGCTATTTCCATGAAAAAACTCTCCATGACGGATGCAGCTGTGTGTACTGCAAGCCTATACTAATACAAGCTAAAATCAAATAGCCTTCAAGAAAAGAATGAGAGTCAATAAATTTGTTTCCAAGCCAGTGGGATTATGGTATTTTGTTGTGGCCACCTGATCCGAGACAATAGTCTTTCTTTAAATGTTTATTGCCAGTTTATTTCATTCATCAAGGTGAGAAATTATATCTTCATTGTACTATATTTATCAATTTGTAATCTATTCTCCATCTTCCTTCTTTCCTTTACAAATTCCAAACTGAAAATGTTCTGTGTGGTGATTCAAAATAATATTAAATAACAAAAATGATTGCACAAGGAAACATGTCAGGTCAATTTCTCCCATCACTGGTCTTAAAACTACATTGCATTTTTTCACTATTTCTTTTGTTTATCTGCCTTTGTTTTGCCTTTGATATTCCCATATCACCTAAATTTACTTTTAAAATCACTCTCAATTTTAACATTCTTGCACACAATTAGTCACTTTTATATTTGTAATTCATTTGTTAATTATACTACTTTGTACCTTCCTTGAGAGGAGCAGTTAACATATTCCTCATATGACTTATGGTAGGAACAAGAAAGTATGATGTGAAATAAGTGAGGCAAATAGGGAAAAATAATCATCTTCAAAATAGGAAACTTAATGCAAAGTAACAAGCCATCATCTTTTATAATTAAAAAGAAATTGCAAACAGATAATACATAGAGATTATAGGCATCATAAAACAAGGTATCTAGTTGCTGGTTAACTCAGAACTAAAGAAATTTATATTTGCCATCTTGCTTCAAAGTTTGTTAGTAAGCATTACAATCAAATGACTTTGAAACCTTCTTTGTACTGAATTCATTTCCTCCCTCCTCCCAAAGAAATGTCTTGAATTTTTTATTGTTACGTGTTATGGCTGGATCTAGAATACCTCTCAAAACCTTCCTGTGTGCAGAAGCAGGCCTTCTAGTGAGCCACCAGGTCATGGCAGGTTGTGCCGGAGTTGCTGTGGAGAAGTGGTGCCTGGTGGAAGGCAACTGGACTGTGATCCAAAAGGGGACATCATCCCCTTTGACTCCTCCCATCTCCCTCTTCTTCTGGGTCACCATACCTTGAGCAGCTCTCTCCTCTATTATCCCCTTCCTAACTAGGAGCCAACTGATTGTAAAGGGACTGAATCTTCCAAATACCCTGAGCAAAGTGCCAGCCAGATAGCCCAACCGACTAAAGCGCCTGCTTAGGCAGACCTGGGGACCAGGATTCCATCCCTGACATGTATTGCCATCCCCCCCCCCGCCCAGGTGCTCTAAGACAGGGATTGAGACTGGGTGTGGTGGCACTCGCCTGTAATCACAGTGCTTGGGAGGCTGAAAACAGGAGGATCTCTATGAGTCTGATCTGTGTATTGAGACCCTGTAGAACCTGTATGCAATACATTTTTTAAAAAAATGGTCAAATACCATGAGCCAAAATAAACCTCTTGTTATCTAGGTTGTGTGTGTTTGCTATTAGATCTCAGCCATAGGAGAAGTAACTAAGATAATATGTGTATTCATGATTTTCAAATTTTAGCCGTAATATTTGTTTAAAGTTAATATTTAAACATATGTAATCTTATTATGCAAAAACTATCTTGTAGCGTTAGTTATAAATATTCAGCTTAATAATTTTCAAGACTTTAATTGCAAATGAATAACATTGCTTACTGTTTGAACCCAAAAGCATTAAAGAATATTTTTAAACAAGTAGACAATTTTACTGCATTTATTTCTGAATTCTTTTAAGATCAAAGAAGAAAACTGCATTCCATTAGAAGAAGAGTTGTTTTTTGTATTTTTTTTTTTACTGACTTCACAGATAAACAATGGCTGTCAATTTTATCTTCAAGATAATTGATTCAATTATCTAGGCTAGATACTCTCTTTGAAAAGTGCAGTCTGTGGTAAATTCTTAAAAATATAATTGATTAAGAGTCTAAAGGGTTATATACTTAATAGCTACATCCTCAAACTAGACCTAGACTATGCCCTTGAAAGGTGCAAGGATTATACCTTAATAAACCTTGTGACTGAGCCAGTGTTCATGGGGGCATTTACCAAGGTTGCATTAGGTGCAGGATGGTCTGCAAAGTGCAGTGGAGACAACGAACAGTGCTTTTAAGGAACAATAATACAGTTGGTGACAGAATGAGATGATCAGAACACCAGTGAACACTATTGACCTTGTGTAATTAAATTTTAAAATCTTCTGCAAACTATAAATCCTATTGGATTTTCTAGGCAAAAAAGATCAATGAGAGTTAAAATGGCCAAATAATATGTACTGAGAGATGGTGTTTTAAACTGTGAGAGGGATTTGCATGGGTTAGAACTGTAGAAAGCAATGCTGCCGATGCAAGACCCTAATTAGTGTGGTTGGTGCATAACAGAAAATGCTAAAACTAACTAATTTTAAAGTGAAAAAGGGAAGATAATAAAATTTAGTATAACTACACTTCTTGTTCTTAAAAATGATTCTTCTATCACTTTCTTCAGGTTATGTACCTGTTAAGTAATAATAATCATTTCTTAATACGTTTGTGTTTCTATTCTTCACATTTTGAGAAAAAGTTGGTTTGAAAAAGTGATAGAAACATTGTAATATCAAGTAATATAACTTCTTTGGGTCAAAAGTATAGGTTAAAATAACCTTCAAGGGTGGCTTTCATTAACAACCATCCTACCAGATGTGTTAGAAGAACATTCACAAATTTATCAGGAAGAGAAATGAGGCGTAGAAAAGTCAAGTGGTTCAGCCATCAGCAAACAGTGCTTCTGGGACAGAGAGGAAGAGAATTCTAAGGTTGGAAGGAACATTCAGAGGCCATCAACTGCTGTTCTCATTTGTCCGCAAACTGTATTATTCAGTGCCCTCCAGAGAAGAAATTTTTATGTCCTTTCCCACTAACTTCTCGAAGTTTATGAGTCCTCATTAGGTTATCTCTACTTAAAGTAGCTTCTGCCTGTCTCCAATCCACTTAAACAGAATGAATGTTATTCCAACAAATAGGTATCCTAGTATTTTCAGCTGCTTCAATGTAAAAGAAATGGGACTGAGAGTTTTACATATTTTCAATGTATACTTTAAGATCATGTCTACTACAAAGCCAGAGTTTTAATATTAGGTCTCTTTTTAGAGCCCAAGAAACAAAATAAGGTGTAATAAGAGTGCCATAAATAAGGTGTGAATATAAATGTTGATCTTACCAACTTTTTTATGTTTCCTTGGTTTGTTTTTGGGTCTAGCACGCTGTATGCTGAAAGGCAGCTAAGTAAACAAGGAAAAGACATGTCATCCTCTAAGGGGCGCTAATTGTGACTGCTCTGCTACATTTCAAATTTCTGTATCAATCACTCTGCTCTTAAAGGGCATGTCTCAAACATTGTAACAGGGAAAATGTATGATGAGACAGCTATAGACTTCAACAAACTTTCAGAAACCAACTTGCTCAAAAAACAAAAAACAAACAACAACAAAAAAATCTTTCCATAAAACTAAAGTCAGAAGTTCCATCTGACACAGGTATCCCTTTACTAGGTATATTCAAGACAGAATAAAGGATATCAAACTGCGGTGCACACCCATGTTTATGACAGTCCCATTCATAATAGTTAAGCTTTGTAAAGGGCCTGCATGCCACCCCAGGAACTGAAAAATGGATAAAGAAAATGTGCTGTCTATACTCATTCAGCTATAAAGCAGAATGAAATCAGGAAAATGTATAGAACTTAACACCCTAATATG